CCCCTCTGATGACATGGTCAAAAAAAAATGTTTAATTGTGGCCACGAAGTAGTATTTCGCGGCCACGCAATAAGTATAACGTGCGCACGACCCGTCCTTCCTTCCTTCCTTCCTTCCTTCCTTCCTTCCTTCCTTCCTTCCTTCCTTCCTTCCTTGCTGACATTAATCGATACCGTCTCATTCTCTTCTCAGAAGTCATCATGTCTCCAAAGATGAGCACCTTCCAGGACAGTGAGTTGAGCTCAGAGCTACAGAATGCCATCATTCACTCAGGTCAAGAGGTCAGAGTTCAGCGAGCCCGTAACCTTAGCAAAGACCACGACGAGGTGACATCGGTGGTTGTTGGGCCGCCGAAGAAGGAGGCACGAACAGTGAGGCAGCAGAGCAGCCAGGGAAGTGCCTCGTCCCACAGAGGAAGCGTTTCGTCGCAGGGCAAACACCGTCACTCTCACAACCAACCTGCTCCTCCCTACACACCCCCACACACACCCACCAAGACCAGAAACTCATCTTCCTCCTCCACTTCCTCTGTTCAGAGCACAGCTTCCCCACAGAGCAAAACCAAACCTCCCCCCCAGTCGATACAGGGGGACCATCCTCAGTCGCACTCACACCCCTCTCAATCTCCCACCCACCGGGGAGCTCCATGTCAAGTCCCCCAGCCACAGCAGCCGCAACAATCCCACCCACATCCTCATTCGCAGACACAGGTGATGGAGGTTCGAGACGGTCCACAGCAACAGGTTCCACAGCTCTGCCTGCCTCCTGAAGCTGAGCAGGAAGAGGGAGAGGGAAAAGAGCCCTCAGCTCTCAAAGAGAAACGTGCCCACAGCCTCAACCGATACGCCGCCTCAGACGGGGAATGTGAGGAGAGGGTGAAGGAGGGTGGAGAAGGAGGAGGAGGAGGAAGGGAAGCAGACACAGCAGTGGCCCAGGGCTCCATGGTTGTAAGAGCGGAGGGAGGCAAGTACGCCACAGTGACCCACCGTGTGAGTCGCAGCCATTCTGTCCGCAACCAGGAAAAGACCGCCGGTCGCTGCCAGACGCAGTCCTTCGCTTTGCGTCAAAAGAAGAAAGGTCCTCCGCCGCCCCCACCTAAACGCTCGAGCTCCGCCATCTCCACCTCCAACTCTAATCTGACGGAGGCCAACACGCAGCAGCAGACACACACCACCACAGGCGGGATGCTGGATGTGCCCTACCACCAGCAGCGGCGGGCCAGCGACCTGGGGATATCGGTGGAGACGGCTGCAGTGGAGACCAACAGCATGGGCAGCGTTCGCAGCATTGCTGCCATGTTGGAGATGTCTTCCATAGGCGGCGGCGCTAAAGGCATGGCACTGCAGAAGAATTACCTGCAGGTACGGGCACACATCTGCATTTCTAGAGCGGGTCATTCATGGTCCTTCTTTAGGTTGCAGCCAATTTTTTTTTTTTTTTACTCCAGAAAAAGTTACATCGTCAAGATGTTTTCTGCTGCTTTTATAGAATCATTCAGAAGTTGGTGTTTCTACAAACTGCTTAGAGTAAGGAGACTAGAACCACATCCAAGGACGGCATCCTTTAGAGAGAAATCAAAGAGAAGAAAGTACACGAAGCAGGGGCAGCGGTAACAGGCGTTTTGATAATTATGCCATGAGAGTTTGCCCGGTAAACGTAGTTAAGAGTATACAGGTGTTTCAAAGTGTTGGAAAGAGAAGAACATAAAGACGTTTGCAAATACAGGAGGCAGAAAATGATGCTTCCTAACTGCAGTTTGCTGTCAGGGCCACCATAAACAGGCATCACAATAAGTTTAAAAGCCTATGATCCAAAAGAAAAGCTCAACTCTGAAGTCTACCATTGTTTAATTTAATTCAGTTTATTTATATAGCGCCAATTCACCAATTCAATAATGTTCGTTTGGAATAGCAGCAGGTATGATGATAACAACAGTGCAATTAAAACAGCATAAAAACATTCAGCTTAAATGATAAATGGTTAAAATGCATTAACAACAGCAGCAGTGTGTGTGTGTGGGGGGGGTATAACCCCCCTTTTCATATGACAAAAGCGAAGGGGGGGGGGGGTAAATGTGAGCAAATTCTCTATAAACTAACCTTAATTCAATTCAATTCAGTTTATTTCTATAGCGCCAATTCACAACACATCATCTCAAGGCGCTTTACAGTTCAACCAGATCATACAGTCAAATTGATTCAAAGTTTTCTATCTAAGGAAAATCAGTTAATTGCATCGATTCATTGACTTGAATGCAATCCTTCACACTTAGCATGGTTGGGATAGTGGAGAGGAAAACTCCTTTTTTAGGAAGAAACCTCCAGCATAACCACGCTCAGTGTGAGTGGCCCTCTTCCGGCCATCTTCCTTAGAGATTGAACTAGCAGATTCTGCAGAGTGGGAGAATCGAGACTGAATAAAGCAGATTGATGAAATAGGGGTCCCTATGTCCTCCAGAAGTCTAAGCCTATAGCGGCATAACTATAGAGATAGCTCAGGATAACCTGAGCCACTCTAACTATAAGCTTTAT